TTCTAATCGGCAGGTTATGGCCTATCCGATCCTTGTTGCACAGCCCCATGCATTTCTGCCTGAGCTCCAGGGAAGCGACCCCTTCCTATTATGTGTTACCCAAGGAACCCACTCGACATTCTCGATGGGATCGAAGTGTGGTGATAAAGCCAGTTAGGGGTGCAGCCGGATACCGTACCCAGTTCTTTTATCCGCCTCACTCTGTAAGGCGCCGCATTCTGGCGCCCCTTGCCTGACTGAGGTTTCCCATTCGCATGTTGAATACCGGTAGGTCGTGGTTGCACTTGTATGGCCAAAGTCAGGAGAGTCGCACCTGTAGAGGGTCATCTGTCCAGTTGTGCTGCTCATACAAGTACCTTTTTCTCGAGCAGATCATACCCGAACGGTGCGGTAAAGTTACTGTACGAGTAAAAACAAACTCGCATACAGCAATAGAACCATGTGCTATGTCGTCAGAGTTGCCTCTTCCAGTAAGCCCCAAGTTCTCTTGCTCTCCCTTTTCCCCACATCTCTCAGAGGGGCGGGGCTGAACATCTTTTTTGTGGGCAAATCTTTCGAATCACATGCTCTCGGCAACAGAATCTTTCGGGTTGTATGATGCAGTATCATACTTGTACCACTCGCAGTTCAGTACAGCGCAGGACTCGCACAAGCACCAGCATTTGCACCATCGACCTATAATTTATAGAAATATAACTCACCTGGCAAATATGCACTTGTACCCGAGCAACAGGGTCTCAAAAAAATATACATATACCCGAGTACGGTAGCAAAAAAAAGTCCGCGTGTACCCGAGCGTCCATACGGGCACGAGACCAGTATCATCCATCACTTCTAGCCCGTCACGACCCACGAGTCATACCGTCGAGGAAAGTGAAATCTAGGCAGCCAATCACCTCGCCTTTGTCCCTCCGTAGCCCCGTAAAACCTGTGGGGAAGAGCCAAAAAATAAAAATAAAAAAGGAGGTTTTACCATGATACGGGTATTTGAGGCTTGCTCCTGCTTAAAAATTACTCGTACTCGGGCACAGTACCACGCAGTAGAGGTATTCAGAGTTGAAAAAGTTGGACAAATGTTAGCTCACCATACCTCGATGTTTCATGTAGGCTTGGCACACACAGAAACAATGCATAAAGTCCAAACGAAATCCAAAAATATAATAGTGTGCCTTGAGAATAATTATTCCCTTTTTTTTCCAGCGAAAACCTCTTAATCTTGATTATTATTATTTTTGTTAACATAGAACAAAATTTTCACAATATCAGTAGAGTCCTGATCAACCTTAATCCCTTGTCCCAGTCTTCACTCGCCAGGGTGCGCTCAAATACTGGTGTGGAAGTTTCTCCATCCGCTTCCTTGATTGGATGGTGTAATTGACCAAGCTGGCACCTGTGCAATGGGATTGACTGTATGACGAGATATCCAATTGAATAAGTGACTGGAATTATGCAGTGAATATTGACAGTAAAACACAGGAAAGAAGGTGGGTGGAAAAGATGGAAAGACAGAACTCCAAATCAACAGAAAGAAAGGTTGCATTGTCTGCTGTACAGGTTGGTTGTTTGCGTCTCCATTCTCTCTCTCCCTCCAAGGAAGGCAAGGCCATGCCTCCAGGTGAAAATTTCCCACCTGCTCAGCCTCATCCCAAACAGAAAATTCTATGGTAAAAACCCATCAAACATGACCAGAAAACCCCGAAACCTATTTTCCTCCCACACCGGTACGCTATCATACCCGAAATGCATGAATACCATTGGCTGACACAATAGAGCAACCTAACGCAACTTCCTGTGTTTACTCGTTACTAGAAGTATGATATGATGCCTTCCCTTAACTTTGAATACCCCTGCTAGTATGCTCCATGCATAAACAATTTCACCCAATCGCTCAGTTCATCTATCATAACGGTACGAATAAAAGGAGCTTTTAAGAAATGATTGATCACGTGGGCACACATGCGAGGACATGGGCGATGCGTCAGGAAATGCCGAGAAAGTAATACCATAATCTCGTCAAATCCACTATCTCCGGCAGCCCCCAATCTCCGGATTCTCAGTCAAAATTCCTTAAGAAGGATTAGTGCTTTCCTGACACAGTATAGCCTGAGTCATTTGGTTGAGTTGGACCTTGTTAACTTGACAAGCTAAACCTATCTTGGGCTAACGTCGCGATTTACAGGGATATTCGTCACAGCCGGGAGATAGTGGATTTGACGAGATTATGGTAGTATCATAAATGTAACTCTTACTAGCGGCTTCCCCCCCCCGCCCTCCGAGACCTCCGAGACCTCCGAGACCTCCAGGGCCTGCTCCTAGTACCAAAAAAACTCAAAATGAAGAGCTAGAAAAGTACCAGCAAGCCTCGAGTTTCTCGTTGCGCTACCGCGTGTGTTTGTACAAGTGCCAGGGATAATGTTTTAACACACAGTTAATTCAGGTTAACCCGCAAAATGATCCCTGTCTTGTACGAAAACATCTCCCCTGGCACTTGCATTTCCCCGTCAATGGCATGCGAAAGGGTTTACCGACACGCACACGGTATCCGGGAGGTTGGTCTCTACGAATTTGACTGTATCAGACCGCTAGGGATTGGGATAGCGGAAGATTGACTGACCAGCTTGACTGCCTCACGGACAGGGACGGCAAATGCCACACACACCGGTATCCCTACTTTAGGGACATCGTATATCTCTAATAGCAGGTATCCAAACCCGCGTCTAAACCCCCGGGTTCCGGGCCCGATAGTGGGCTAATAGTTTATGTCAGTCCCCGGTGTCCTACTGCGCCAAGCGACGAGACAATGAGTGACCACTCATGATCGTGATATAGATCCCCACTGGACCCACTCATAAAACATCTATTCTTGCTCCTACGACACTCGTCCTAAAGCACAATGAGCTTTATATACACGCTTGGCCTTCAAGTTCTCCTCAAACTCAAAAGCCCGTGGCCCAATCGATATTCTCACCTCATTCCGATATCTGTAATTCGTTGAGATCACTTCATCGGAACTTCGGAATTAAGACAAGGGTCACTGATTGAGCTCAAACACTCTGGCATGTTGGATTGCTTATCCGGCATGCGGTTACGAGATTTGCCGTTATAGTTCTAATCTCTTTGAGGCACGCAGTGAGTAGCCACATGGCAGTGATTGTCGCTTCAACATCCTACGCCGGTAAGCATTCCCTACGGGTTTCTGGTTTTGTTGAATCCCCGTTGCCATCCAGCATCAGCCATCGGGTATTCGGTTTAGTTCGTTGTTCGAGTTCCTATGCGGGTTGGTATAGGGTAGTTGATTTGGCGTGGTTTGCTCTTCATGCTCATTAGCATTAGGCACCGGGTGCCGACCTCAGTGGCCCAAACCATTCTAGATAGTCTGGGGAATGCAGGATCATAGAGAATCATGGCGTTTTCTGGAGAGTGCCTTTCTTCAGAGTTAGTCGTGATTCATTTAGATTCCAAAGTTGCTAGAGGCCTGATACCGCAATACATAACTACTGGTCTGTTCCCGACTGCGATCTCAAGTGATGATCCGGTTCCCCATCCCTCCACGCCTAGCTGCACCCGGAACCTATTGTAGCAAGATGGGACACCCTCCCTCACACATCAATTAGTGCTCACCCAAGCCTGAAGATACGTCAGCGGGGTACCACTGTCCAAGATGCAAGGAGGCCGGTGCACCCCATCTTCCCGATCAACAACGCAAACTATCGCCCTACCCTTCAGTCCGTAAACATAACCCGTAAGCACCTGAACCCCCCCCCCCCAGCCCCCGAATGGTATGGATGCCCAATTACTTAGTGATTGTGATCACAAGAATTCTATGTTTCACATCTGTGATCAACACCTCGCACTCAATTAGATCTCCGAAATTCAATCTCTGTGGACATCATGTACGCCAACCACATCCACCTCGTTATTTGGTGTCTTGTTCGTGCCCGCCGGAGGGATAGGCTAGTGGATTGACTCCCGTGTCTATAATATGGAGGTCGCCCGCCAGGGAGCCGGCATGTAGCCGAGAGGCAAAAATAGCTGCAATGAGTCCTGGGCGCCCAGCGACCAAGCGCCCGAACAGGGTTGTTGGCAACCTTTCAGTTCGTAAGTCAACAAACAATGTCCCAGTCGGTTAGGGAGATGATACGACATCAAAAAGCGGTATGGTACATGTACCTTGTCACAAGTCCCCCCACACTCCAACGGGTCAACCAGCACGCGAAAGGTGGGGGGTTGAAGCTATGATACTTCGTGACTTCTCAACCAAGCGCCGGGGATACTGGAAAATCAAACCAACCCGAGGACCAAACCCCACCCCCCCCCCCTTCCGCAACATGTTCAGGCCGGTCGCTAAAAATGTCTGTCATTCAGGCGCGCTCTCCCCCGTTGTCAAAGCATACAGCAATTACTCGGCTCTAGCATCCCCAACGACAGGAGAACTGTGTTGATAGCTATCACTCATAAATCAAATACTGCCGGAAAACAGCATCGCTGGCGATGTTAAGAGGTTATGAGAGGTGAGCCCCAATTTCTACAAGCAAGGTGTGTGCGTTGTTTGCGCCTAACTTAGGTAAAAAAAGGTTGGGGAGGGACTTTTGATCTTGATGAGCACTCACTCCTCCATGCCACAATTAATCATCTGCGTTTACCCTCCACGCATAGTGGCGCAACGCTCGCAAACAGGGCCGCTATTGCATATCGCCAAATTTTAGCCTTCTTGTTCCCGTCTTTGTAGTGTAGTAAGTTATGGATGTGGGTGATCAGACAGCCAGTGTTTTCCGATAGAGTCAAAATTTCTTGCTCGTTTAAGCGATTTCCATATCAAATCCATCTCTCCTCTCCTATGGATGGTAATTTCAGTTTGCTGGCTTTCCTACCATAATTTAGCTGTCAATCCCTAGCATTCATATCCGGGTAACACCAGTTTTGCTCACAAACCCCACCCACTTCCCGGTGCTATGATAGTACTCCTACGAGACCCTTCGCTTCCGTTATCGATAACAGAGATGTGGCGCATGATGAAGACAACATGTGACGTGAGGCTTGCCTACACTCGAGGTTCATCCAGCTTAAAAGAGAGCGATCCCCACAAGCATCCCGCTCAGCAACTCAGAGACGAGAGCACGAAGAAGGGAGATCACACTACGCAACAAGAGAGTGAGTCCCCCCCCAACACTAAACCATCTCCCAGCTAGCTAAAGTACCGAAAACCAGTCTTTGCTAACTTGAACACAGCCAGCTCAAGTGAAATCGCTCCATCCAACACGGTAGCAATCAACCAGAACTCCAACTGTGTTACCTCTCAAAACTGAGGATGAGTTCTTTGATCAGCAGTACCCCCCCCCATTGTATTAAATCTGCGGTATTGAATGTTCGCTGAATAAATAATTTCTTATAACAGAGTGCTTGATTCAGTCCCAATGTGGCTCTATCCTTTTCGCTGCCATCGGTGTCGGCATAGTCTGGCAGGCAAATAACATTCGTTCAGGGATCGATCGTGTCGAGTCCAGGCTCGATAGTGTCGAGTCCAGGCTCGATAGTCTTGAGTCCAGTGTCGAGTCCAAGTTCAATAGTATCAAGTTCAGGCTCAATCGTGTCGAGTCCAGTGTTGAGTCCAGGTTCGATAGTATCGAACACACACAATTGGTTCTCGTACACACAATTCGTGCCATGGCAGAAGGCCATCCCGGACAGAAGGAGCCATTGGATGAGTTGATAGCGAATCTTCAGAGGTGTGCCAAGTCTGGTGATGAACATTGTAATGCCGTTGAGGATACTGCAGAGGGTTATGGGGAAGAAAACTAGAAGGTAGACTAAGTGTTAGTACCATGATTATGCCTCGCAGGTGTAATTGATTTCCTTGCCAAGAGAATATTGCTCACTCAGCACAATATAGGTCGGTCACGAACAGTAAGCTCCAAAGGGACAGGTATTGAGTTGCTATATCATTAGGGCGTGAATTTCTATGGGACTATTGAGTTTTGCTTCTTTAGAGAACTAGATTGTTGCATGCAGTTACACGTGTTGCTTTATGAGAATGTGGTTTGGCACAATGATGCTTGAGTGGAAAACTAGATTGTTGCCTGCGGTTACAGGTATTGCTTCATGAGAATGTGGTTCAAGTTTGGCACCGTGATACTCGTGTGGAAAACTACTCAAACCGTGAATCTGTGATTTCAAAACCACTCTTTATGTGCCAGTATATACCCAGTATGTAAGAGAAAACCTATTACTTACAAATCTAACAGTTAACCCTCGCACCAAGTAAGTTATCACTAGTTTCCCACCGCGCTCATAATTTGTTAAGGCTAAGAGCCCTCGCCAGAAGTCCTCCTCTACCGTTCTATCCGTTCCATCAAAAACAGGTCGCGGCTTCCCAGATATTACGACCGCAAGTGATCCTCTTCCCCCTCTCTCCTTTTTGTTGAAGAGTGGTGCACGCCTTAGTCCGTTTGAACTATACTGTTGGATTTCCTGTTGGGCATGATATGAGATGCACGGGTGGTCAGGAGACATCCGGCGACGAGGCATGTGGCAATGAGGCTTTTAGTGAGAAGGCATGTCATACCACAATAGTCCATTGTGTTCCCACCCTATGCCTCCCCGCACAGGATGTGGGCTTTTGGTTGTCAGGAAGCCGTTGCCATCGGGAACCCGGTCCAGAGTGTTTGTCTGTTAGACGTTGGGTGGGTTGTCGGCTTGGTTTTCTGTTTCCTCTCAGTATGCTGGCTAACGCCTGGCGCCTAACTTTTAAGGATCCAGAAGAACCACAGTGTAGTTGAGCCTCAACATGGCCCTGACTAAGATATTTTGAGATGGGGGGAGAACAACGATGTGCCAGGAGGTTCCTTCGGAGTTTGTTGTGTTTGGTTCAGTCTCTAGAGTTAGCTGGTCCGGGATGAAGGCTCCGGCACAGTGCAGGGCCAGGGCCTTTCTCCCGGGACAGGTATTCACAGCGAATCCGGTGAAGGGTGGATATTTTCAGTGACAAACACCCCCAGCACAGCCTTGTCGAAATGGGTTGTAATCTTGGCGTCAGCTAGAGGATCAGTTCAGACTCATCCCCACAAAAGTACAGACGTAGAGGTATTGTGATTAAAACGATTTACATTCACATCACCCAATATCGTGTGAGTGACAGAAATTTTTGAACCGGGCTCAGTGGTGAAAGTTGTGACCCCTTTTTCCCAGGCAGAAATTCAAAGGTTAACCCGCCTAAAGGTGTGTCGGGAGATTGCTGTATCATAGGAGAGATGGCCTTTGGTAATCGAACCCGAGGATGCTTCAAGTCTTGGTAAGCAAAATAATGTTGGCAAGTGGGGCTAATTGGTGGGGATTCGGGCCCAAGTAATAATCCCATTGGCAAATTTGAGCCCAATACCCCTATTTGTCCCAGGGGGATAACTGGAAATAGCCGTGGATCTCAAGATATCCGGGAGCCCTAGGCCCGGGATTTTATTCTTTCCAAGAGCTCCAGCACTAAAGCATCTAGATACCCGCAAGTATGATAATGTCTACTTTTTTAAAAAAATAAAAATAAAACAAAAAAAGAGAAGAGTAGTAGAAGAGGTTCTATCATATAACCCCCCTCCCCCTTCACCGCAACATTGTGTGTCGGGGGATATGTCCCGTTCCCCTCCGGCAGGTATGAAGGGAGCCCGGGTACGCGAGCAGCATACACCCGAGTATGATACGATAGGATGTTGACCAGATGTAGGAAGGCATTATAGACCAGACCATGACGTCTACCCCAAGACTCAAACATGCTCAGTGTGCGTACCCGAGTTCTCGATGTATGATTCCTGCCGAAGCGACACCAGTTATCCCCCCACACGACCCCACCTCAAAAGCGCATAACAGACTTTTTATCCCCCCAATCAGCCATTAGACGGAAGAGGATCACGCGAGATCCGGCATGTAATCATCATTTTCCCCATATCTTCATTCCACTGAACAATTGCAGGAAGCGAGCGAAGCCAGTCAGGGTGGTTGCCACTAGGAATTCCCATACAAACCGCGCGTCCAGCCGTGTTTTTGGGCACGTTTCACAGAGCTCTGGCACCAGAGAGCGTACCCCATCCCCGAATCACGAGTTTCTTTTCCCCCTCTTTTTTTACGGTAACCGGGTTGAGTATACATGAACGCCTGTGAACTTAGGCTGTCTACTATTGAAGATTTCCGCTTCAAATTTGCTTTCCCTCTTCCATTCCTTTCCCTTCCGTTTCCCTCTCTCATCGCCCATCGCTGCAATCTCCCCAAAGAGACAAACAGGATCTCATAAGTCTGCTCACTCACTTGCTCACTTATCCCCCTTGTTCCTCATGCACCCACCCCCCCTTGAATTCCCTCCCCGCACATCATACCTCTTCCATCTGTCTTTCGTCTCTCTCCCGTGCCTCCCTCCGTATAACCTCCACATCGATCATTGACCCTTCCTTCGTGTCCTCGACGTTTTCAACCAAAAGCTTGGCAGCACTGGCGAGTGAGCTATTGTGATCTCGCTAGCTGACCCATCTATTACGGTATACGATACAAACATTTGGTACAGTGGGTGGGCAAGGGTCTTGGTGATTGGGCCTTTTCAGTTCTCGGCAGCTCATCAATAACCGAATTACTTCTTTCCGAACTTCCTGGTTTAAAGTCACTATCACCCACGCCTGTAAAGCCCAACCTGCGCTTAAAAATCAAGTTTATCACCTCCACGACTAAGCTAGTTGCCCCAGCGGCAACACCCCACAGCTATATTTCCCCAGCTTTCTCGAGTCGTGACTCGACAGCCTACCGGTACTAGAGTAAATAGAAAAGCTAAACTTGCCATACCGTAAATACTCGTTAAATCAGCTATCTCCGATCGGCTCCTAATCTCGGTACCCCAGGACAGTACACCCTGAGAAGGAATAGCGTTTCCCTGACGCGGTATAGCTTGGCACGCTCAACTGGGTAGTTCTCATTAATTAGTATACGCCATTCTGTTAACCTGCCCTGCTAACCCTATTCTGGCCCACTCTTAGATTCTAATTACGCACACCCCCTATGCGCAATAGCCAAGCCCCGATCCCAGATAGCTGATTTAGCGAGTTTTTACGGTAGCTTCTATTGATTACTCAGCCACCTATTTTTTTCTGTCCATAAAAGCCGACGAAACTGAGAGCCAACTAAACAACAACGTCCACTCTTCGCAGGAACAAAATGCTATCAACTCATACAAAGGTATTATCATCCAGACCAATCAAAAAAAGAATCACAAAAACTTTAGCCCCACGCGGGGGTCGAACCCGCAACCTTGAGATTAAGAGTCTCACGCTCTACCGATTGAGCTAGCGAGGCTTGTCGAAAGCCATGACAAAAGTAAACCTTTGTACCTAAAACAGCAGCAGCCATGTTGACAACGCTCGTTCTATTAGCTGAAGACCCAGCCATCCAGTACGATTGGACCTAGACCAACCCACAACACCACCCGACAAAGGACCGCCACACATCCTTCTCCCGTCCCAGCAGTGCATAACAACCTCCTCCCATAGATCCCCAGACAAACTCATACTCCCGCAGCACCATCAGCAACCCAGTATTCTCTTTACCCGAAGCGAGAAGATGGCTGGTCCGGGGGTGGTACTTGCGTCATCGTGAATGCGATAGCTGTTCGTCACATTGGCAATTAAAAGTGTGTGAAAAAGACAATCTTATCCCGGGTGAGCACAGAAAGAAGCCTTCACACCCGAGCACTCACGTGGTGGGGGGGCTTTCGCCCACCTTTCCACCAATCGTCGCGAAATCCTACCCACCAGCCACCTCACCTCACGGCGAGAGGTACCGTACCAGTATAGCTCCAACGGCGTAATACCGCACGAGTTATCCCGGCGAGGCTGCAATCATCCGCCCCCATACCAAATACTGCAAAACAAAACTAAAAAAAAAAAAAAACTGGATACTAAACCGGGTGCGAATTTGGTAAGGCGAGGATAGTACTGTGCTGATGGGAAAAGGTTTATTACATTATGTACTGGATTGGACGATCTGACAAAGTGTGCAGTACATAATTGGTAATTGAAACATTTCTCTCCAAGTCTGCAATAGTTACTCTCAGCTTCGATGGCCCAGTACCACATTTGTATATCAACCATGTTGGGATCCTACAAGCAGTCCACCAGCTAGCCGACCCACATTGGACAGATGATAGTCAAATCCATCCTATCACACTAGGGTCTAAAGTATCCCTCACTCCCGTCCGGCTCCCGCCATTTGGAACGTGATGCCGTTACTCACTGTTGAGCAATAGTATATACCGCTCACGGAAGCCAGGCGGGTAGGATTCACAAATCCACGCACCAGCAGTGTGTAAATCAGTAAGCCCGTAGACACAAAAGAGTATACATGATACATACCCCAAACCACCCAAGACCCGTTTCAAACAGCGGGGAGCATGATGAGTTACACAGGTTTATGGATCAGGCTAGAGAGGGGAGCCCGAACGCCACGGGTCCCCAGATCACCGCACCGCACTGTACATACAGGTATAATATCATAATAATACCATACAACACAACGCAATCATTAAATATCACTCGGTACGCCACATCACATTACTGTTGAAAACATGAGCATGATTTCATATACGAGCCATAAGCATTCATGTGCATATGTAAGTGCTTACACATCTTTCATGTCCTTGTTGTGCGTTGCTCCCTGAAGTTTGTTTTCTCCTGTTCTTTTTCTTCTCTTACCTGATCAACCAACACACCCAATTCCTCCTGTCCCTTGCTTGCTGTTTTCCTCTACTCTACACAGTCAACAAAACCTACCACCTTCTTTTCTTTCTCTTGACTCCACTCTCTGTATACAAGAAAAATACTTTTCTCTCTTTGAGCACTTACTCCCTTCGGTTCCGTAAAACCTTCGTCAATTCAACCGCAATTTCCAACAATTACCAAGGTCACCCACCGTCCGGCTCCTACTGCCATAATGCAGATATGAAGAAGGAGGAAGGAAGACATACCGCCTTCAATACTAAATGCAATGCCCTCTTCCCCCACCTACCCAAATTGGCAATCGCCAAAGATCCACCCCCTTTCGACTACCACCACAGCACAAACTACCGGCCGCCCGACATGCGCCCCGCATACCGCGCACAGCGATGTGAAAGGTCGAAGTGAGAGAATCCACTAAGACTCTATGGTGATGTACGGTACGGGGCGAGTGAGTAAGAGAGCGATTAGCGTTTGGCATAATATTACTACATAAAACAAGGTGGAAAAAAAAAAACCCCCGAATTCACCAAAGTTCGTATAGGTTTGCAAGGCATTGCAGTCCTACAACCAGGTTTTTGATATCCGGGTGGTAGTGTGGCCCAATGATGTTTCCGTTTTAATCTAGTCCGTTTTAGATATTTTCTCAATTAGGAATCCGGGAGATACCATAATCAGGTCCAACTGGTAGCGCAGTACAGTAGGGCGTATCATATCGTTATAGCAGGTATGATAGGTTATCGTAAATACCACAGCGCATCGATTCACCAACCCCCAGAACCTGGGCACTAATACCGTAGCTATAACAAATGCACAATTTCATTTAGCCAGCTCACTCAATTCCACAGAAACTACTTAACCACAGCCCACAGAGTTCAAAAAATGCAGTGAAACAAGTGAAAAAATTTGAATAAAAAAAACCCAACTCCCGATTCCCATCTAAGAAATGAAAAAGAGAAAGCAACGCCCAATCCCTATCAGCATACTAGGAGTTTTTTTTCTTTTCGTGTATGTATGAGTTTTCGCCGTCATCAGCAGTTTTACATAAAGCAATTCAAGAATTATAGCACCAAGAAAATAAGATTGAATAGACGAACAAAAAAACAAGATACACAGTATCCAGTGTCCATTTTGATGTGACCGGAAAGAGGAGGGAGAAACAGATAAACCCCGGTAGTGATGACAAGCCCAGACCAAAGAAACAAATAACCTTTGCGGCGAAACAAGAAATAACTATTTTTTTGTGTTTCATCACTTTAAAACGGAAAGAACAGAAAAGAACTATTATACCTTCTCGAAAGCTGGTTTGCTTATCGTATTTGATGGCGAAAAGAGCAGAACAGTTGGAGAAAAAAAATCAGACACGACTAGCACACCCACCACACGTAACAACCCAATACCTATTACAATTCTCACAAAGCCAGACCTCCCGGCCACAACCTTCGCACAAGCCCCTTGGCCCGTCCAACATGGCAATCCTGCGTCCGGGCCTACCAGCCGCAGCCCCGCTTCCGGCCCTACCTCCTGGGGAATTATTGCGACGTCTAGGTCCAAGCGAGACTCCTATGCCCGGAGCCGGCTGATTCTGGTTGTGAGTTTGTTGAGGGGGAGGAGGTATAGCGGCAGGGTGATGAAAGTGGTTGGGCATGTTTGCTTGGGGCATTGGTTGCTCCTGTTGGACAAAGTTGTTTTGAATAAAGATGTTTTGGTGGTTGTAGGGGATTTGAGGTAGAAATTCGCCAACGCCAGCGGTTGCTAGAGCGATCCCCCCCCCCGGAGAGTTGGGGTCGGCTACTGCTGGGCCGAAGGGTGGTGTGCTGGCTTGAACTGCTGCCATCAGGTCGAGAAGGGCGGTGTTCATTCCATCACCCGGATTCGCGCTCGCCGCGTCTGCGGGGGGGTTGGCGGGCTGGGCGGTAGTAGCCGTAGATGAGCCCACAACGGGGGTAGCTGGTGAACTGTTCGGGGAGAACACGCCATCAGTCGCGGGGCTCGGAGTCAGGGGAGGCTGCCCTTGTTGTTGGCCAGGTGTTGCGGGATCGTCGGCTGCTCCTATTCCACCTCCAGCAACCATCTGTGATGCCACATTGGCGACAGCAGTTAGGCCTTGGATACCCTGTAATCCTGCGATCTGTGATATGTGGGTTAGCGCGCTAGTATTCGGCATTGCACTCCCCTGATTAAGCCCGCAACGCGTTAGAAGGTGGCCATGTACAAGCGACTGCCGAGAACAAATGAAGCGCCTGCACTCACCACCACACCTAGACCGTACTGTGCAGGATCTTGCAGAAACTGTCCAGCAGACCACCCCTGAGAATTGTTTGGAGCGATACCAGCTCCACCTCCAGCTATCCCTCCCACTACGGCTCCACCACCGCCCGCAGCAGCGGCGCCAACGTTGAGTGTATTACCTTGACCCTGACCTAGGCCCGGAGCGGCCAAAAGCTGGGCTGGAACTGCCGGCACCGGAACATTCTGTTGCTGCTGAGGCTGTTGGGCAGCCGGCGGGGCTGGGATAGCATGTCTGGGAATTCGAAATACTCTTCCATCATCCAGGATAAGTATACGCTCGCCCGGAAGTCTTGGTAGAGGGTAGTGATAGGTCTTGCGCGGGCTCCTAGATCCATTACCATGATGAGAACCATCCCCCGCCATACCAGCAGTAGCACTGCTGCTGGACGCTTGTGAAAGATTCTCCGTCTGGCTGTTCGAGTTAGAGGCTAAAGTTGAAACATCGAAATCGTCATCATAGATAAAGTGCGTCTCCTCCCCCTCAGTATGCGAGAGTCTCCACCTTGAATGATCAAAGCTAGTAGCACAGCCGGCGCCCTGACAGAATAGCACGTCGACATCAATTCCCAGACATCCCGCAATAGAATTCAGCCCTCCGACGTTTCTCCCAAATGGACACTCTTTAGAATATTGCCATTCTCTTTTCCCCTTATACTTCTCAGGAGGATCCACGTATAGACCAGCCACATTAGCTAGCTCAAGCCGCCTCAATGATAGACACGGAAGCCCAAACTCCTCGAGCTCCTCAACAGTTGCGGGGAGGGGAGAGGGGACAGTGCTTAGATCTTCATTCTGTTGTTGTGCTTGCGCTTGCGCCTGTGCATGAACTTGGGGGTTCTGCTGGACGGCGCCAAACCCTGCATTGTTGGCCACTGCACCCGCATTACCACCATTTTGCTGTTGTTGAGCCGCTGCAAGCTGCTGAGTAGCCTTCAACCTCAATTCCCTCCTTTTAGGAGCGGTTACAACATTTAGGATCTTTTTAAGAAACGAGTTTAATTCCACGATATCAACCAACGGACAATTGGTTACACACAATTTCTCAAGACGCAAGGACTGATCAGCGAGCAGCCTGTATGCACCACCTGATATGGACTCAAACTCCTTGGAGAAGAGACCTGTTCTACTGGTGTAAGTGTCATGTTCCATCTCGCTCGTCGGGGCTCGATCAGAGGATCTATCGGGGAGAAGCCCAGGGATCTTTCCACCAGCCGTAGAAGCGATGAGGAGTTTGACAACCCTGGTGGTTACACCGGTTCCGGACAGGTCGATACTATTAAGGAACCTCCAGGCACCAACATACCCCTTCTCTAACCCTCCAGAAACGGTTACTGTACGGCCATCTTCAAGAAGCCGACGTCTACTATTTATTTGAACACCCCCAAGCGGACGATATAGGAACTCAATGATATGCCTATTCTCAACATGCGTAAGGCCTGCGAACGACAGTCTGCGAGCAGAAAACGGATGTAGGGGGTTGACGAGCAGATAGGTTTGGCGGGAAACAAGTAAAAGAGAGAGTATATCATTCATATGCTCAAGAGCTGGAAGAATGGATTCGATGATGACGGGATTGGAGAGAATCTCGGGCCCGCGGGAAGAAGCAGACGAAGCAGTCTCCATTTCGTCCATGGCCCGCACCCGATGGGCTTGGAGGGAAAGGTGGCCGAAGAGATGAACTATGGACGCCGTGGTGACGGGCTATGGATGGACGAAAAAGCGGGCGGCCTGTGTGCAGGTGACTGGGTGGGGACAGGAGGGACTGTAGACTAATGATCAACGACAATAGATGGAGGGGGATGGACAGGGACGGGATGTATACGCACGCTTGGATGAATGTCTCGTAGGCGCGTTACCAGGGATGCAAGATGCGGTAATAGCACAGAATACCGTACTCTCCAACGCTACCGGGTACGGAGAACGAGCAGTCGGACAGTTGAGGAAGAAGGAGAGATCAATCGGCGAAGAAAAGAAGGTTTCGCACGGGTGAGGCTCGGATGATCAGTGCGGAAGCGGAGGGCGTGGTTTGGCGGCACGAGGGAGAAGAAACCCTCGTTCTTTTTTTCTTTTCTTTCCTTCTTTTTTCCTCCCTTCCTCCGTCTTTTCTTTCTCGCCGCCGTAACACAACAGAGACACCTAAGCAGCTCCCGGCCGTTCTGCTTTTACCGGTCCGAAAAGTGTGATGAAGCGAAGATGACAAAAAAAGGACGGAAAAAAAAGCTTTTAGAGCGTTGTAGCCCGAGAAGAATGGTTTGCAGGAGAGAGCTCTGATGTCTGCCGGAGATCTCAAAGCGTGGCAAGCTGGGACAGTACCCGGAAGGGAGGCACGCAGGCAGTTCTGTTGACCCGTGCGGTGCGGGGGAGCAAGGTAAGGAAGGAAGGAGGAATCAACTGTGAGAGCTGCCAGCTGCACCGTAAATGCAAACACCAAATGTTAAAAGTGACGACGAAATGATTACCGCGATTCGACAGAGTGAAGATCTGTGTGTGTGTGTGTGTGTATGGTACAGATATGATATCGTAGCTATCGAAAGTCAATCATAGACACGAGAAGTGGGTTTGAGGTTCCGCCCCAGTTCCCAAGCCGCGGCAGAATTGATGCCCAACGATGGTTGTCCCGATCAAAGGTCGCCATCCAGAGATCACACCCACACACACATACCCGATCTGCCAAGACCGTGAAAAAGGCCAAGTCATGATGGAAATTTGGCCGTATGAAGAGATCAAGCGACCAAAAGCGAAGGTCAAATACATCACCCGTGCTTCGCCCCTCCATCCCCGCTCGGCAAGCGCCCGCCTGACGACGAAGAGCGGAAGGGGTGATGCTGTGGCATCGGTACCGGTACCGGTGTTCGAGCACTTGGTGCCGGTAGTCACCTCTGTTATTCAGGGCCCTGTTTGCCCTGTTCTATCCCGCCGCCAGAAACGAGGAGATCCCAAACTTGAACATTTCACGCACTCACGGTATCACAGTAGGCACACCCTGCCATTAATTCATCCATCCGGCTAGGATACGGTAAAAGTAGAAGGAAAATGACACTAACGGTATCGGGGCGGCAGAAATGAGGGGGAATGCTCTGCCGGACGCCTGGCGTCAAGGTGATGGGTAGGTCGGCATTTTACTTCAGAGATGCGAGGCTTTACTTCTGGAGGGAAAAAATATTAAAATTCGATAAATTCCTTAGAATTGTGTGGAAGCTCCATCAATAGACTCCGGGATGAACAAGCGATGCCTCAAACCGAACCAGTTTTCTGCGGAAAAGGTATCATACCGGTATGATAATTATGACACTGTACTAGTACATTGGAACATCTCAGATCAGAGAGCAAATATTTGGCCATCAACCCCCACACAAGAAGTAACAAAAACCGCACAACCTTTACTGAACCAAGATAAGCAACCATAAGCACACAGTGCTACAGTACCCCGATTGATTCTATCTTGTTTTTGGGCGAGTTGTGGGTCCCTGCCATGCATTTTGAGTGCAAAATGCCTACCTACGGTACTCGTGACTTTTGACGCCAGGATCGTGATAGGGCCCATTCAAAACCGCTGATCGCCGAGCCTCCTTGGCCGAAGGAGTGAAGTTATCTGGTGCTCGAGGACTTACGGGCACGAGTTACCAAGTTCTGCAATGCCTACAGCACCGCAGTCCAATCGAGCATTGCGGGTAGGGCACTCGAGTATATTCACTCTGTCCCAAGTCCGGGTGGATTGTCCATCGGTACAAGCAGCACTTCTTCATAAGTTTATGGCGGCAACATTGGAATGGTGTGCTTCAGAGACAAACTTCATCGCTACGGCCGCCTTCACATCTCGCTTCGCGCAATGATTGATAATGGCACATCTCGGGGATAGACTATCGACTATCACATCTTTATCAGAGGAGGACATTGCGCTACCGTTTTGTATGCTGGACGACAGTATCATCCGTCCCTTATCTCTTACTGCCTCTCCCTCCCTACGGACCATTCTGCAGATAGAGCTGCATGCCGTTGTACTCTACCCTGCCCTCTCCGAACAGCTCATCCAGCAACGAAAGCATGCCCAGGCACAACCTTTTTGACCGGTGCCAACTCCTACCGCCTTCAGGAGAGGTGCACACGCAGGCAGTTAGCTCTCTATCCATCCCCTCTTTACACGACCCCAAGGTGCAGAAGGGAATATGGTGGCAATGCAGGAGCAGCTCCTCCCTCCAATCTTGTCCACCTCATCCTTGACCCCCATTTTGATCCCACCCGAGAAAGAAAAACAGCAAAGAGGACCGGGAGATCCTCGATGCGATAAATACAGGCATCCTCGAACACCAAAAGGCATTGGTGGAACGGTTCCCACACCGGTTTTATGTAGCCCAAATGGCGACGATAGCTGTCCAGAGTACCGACTCTCAGGCGCTGTAGTGTATGGTGTACGGCACGCAAGGGTAGACACTCCGCCCATAGAGGGCGACTGCCGCACGGAATCCTCCATTCGATCGCTGTGGCCACGCTATCGTACAGTACAGTAACGGCAGGGCTGTCAATCCCCCATCATTCCTCCTGCATGGGAGCAACAGAAAAGCCAGCCAGGTCCCCCACCACACCACCGTGCCGGGGTGCGGTCTCGCGGCCTTAAACCGAGCCCGAATTTGGGCGTGAAGGAGCCATCTTGCATGATGAGCCTGTCCTATTCGCTCGAGTAGAAACCTAACCCTCCCTTGAGCCATTACCGTGCTGTAAGACCTAGCTGGTTTTGCAGCCCCAGCCGGAGCGAGGGCAACCCTCCATGGGGTTCCTTCTCCCACCTACTCGAGTACTCGAGTACTTTCGATAAGAGAGGGTGTGATAGGTCAGGAACCGCCGGCTTCTTTCACGGTTGCAGTTTACGGTAGGGCACTTATACCGTACAGCGCTAAATTTCCAAGATAGGTACTCGCGCAGGTTGGCATGTTGGCTACGAGTACGAGCAGTCTACAGTACGGTACTCGACTACAGTAGACTACCGTACTCGTGGTTGCTGCTTCCTCTTTGCTTTCTGCTGAGTGGTGTGGTTGCTCCCTCTCCACCCACCTGCTCGCCCAATGACAAGCAAGACCAGTAGTCTACCCATTCCCACCGAGCAAGCATCTGCACAGGGGAGCATGCCGTAGCTCCTCCCCGTCCACATGATAAGCCAGATCAGATACCGGTACTGTAGGGAAGGGGAAGGATATCACCACACCGTACCGACACATCCCCATGCGGCAATGCCCTTCCACTTGGGTCTAGAGTACGGTATACGAAGCGTGTACGAATATCAATTATGTTTCGTTTATCGCTTTTCCCACGGATTAGGGTCAGGGATGGAGGTTCACCCAGCACCCCGTAAGCCAGGCGAGCCAGATGGGGACGGCGGGGCAGTGTGAATTGGCACGCTCGCTGCACATACGCCTTCGTTCACGCACTCATATATCTGGTGGCATCCAGTGCCCTTCCTTCACCTCGCCTCAGTATAGCGGTGGAACTCACGCTCGTTCTCCCTTCTCACCTCATTCGCTGGCCCTGACGATACCGCACCGAGGCTACACAGCTGCAGCACGAGCAGAGTATACTCGAGTACCGCCTGCCGGTACCACACGTACCCTTTATCGTGACACACATTACCACAACGTCCAGACAGAGTTCGTACGGTAGCGCGAGAGGGATCCCTCTGCATACCGTACCGGTGCATCGCTCGCTATTCGCTATCGTCATTTCACCGTCCTTTATTCGTCAGAACTACCGGTAGTCTACCATACTCTATTCTTCCCCTATCATCTACTATTTCCCCTAATCAGTGCAGCAGGGTGAGCGCGCGCTGCCAGTGGAGAGCGAGAGCGAGAGGGAAAGAAAGGAGGGAGAGAAAGCTGATTTCTCTGCTCTTCTTCATTCATTGCTCAGCTAAGCTTAGCTCGCTCCCACCCACGCCCCCCCCGACGCCCCTCCTTCCATCATTCCGCCCACCACCCCCACCCCTCCTATCCCGATTCCGGTCTCCCCGTGCCTGCTGCCGCCACAACTACAAAATCGATACAAACTCCCTTCCTGCCCCTCCTCTCTTCCCGTCTACTCCCGGATACATTTCTCTCTCTCCCCACTCTCAAGCCCTTCTTCTACATCGAAATATCTCTGTCTGAATATAGGAAGAGCCAGAAAGAGATCCCTTGCCACCACCCCTGCCTTGCTCATTCTTCCTCCATACTCCCGACTTTATGCCCGCGTACACTGAACACTTCAAGAACCCCCGCCAACAGCAGCAAAATAGAACCTCGTCAACTAGCCCGCTAGCTTCAAATCCTGTACCCATCGCTGTCCAAGCTTCGGCCATTTCGTCTACACTCGGAGGTGGGAGCGCGTTTAGTTCGTCGAGAGCTCGGATATACCCCAGGGAGTAGTCCGTGCTCCCAATCATTTCCATTGACTCATTCATTTCCCCCCTTCCCTCTCCCTTTTCTTTGGACAAGTCGTGATCTGTCATAAACAACTTTTGTTTCTCTCACACGTCCAGCTAGTCACACATCCTATCCCTTCTTCCTCGCTTCTCCCCTCACTCATACAATCACTTGTACTTTTTCTCTCCCTCACCTACTCATACACGTCGAGGCCTATAACCCATCTCACGACCCCCCCCCTCCCCGCTCCCCTCTCTGAGGCAGGAAGGGAATCCGCTGTATTCTTGAGATACCGAGTGCTAATGTTAAGCTGTCATGGCCCGCAGCGGTGTTAGTCGCAATTCAGCTCCAAAGTCTCCTCACCCTTCCAACACCACTTCCCCCCTCCTCTCCGCTCTTCAGACCCCGGGGGAGATACTATCGCGTTCTATCCCGTTCCCTGCCATTCTTTCGTCTTCCACACCATCCACCGGACCTCCGAACAGCCTTGGTTCTGCCTCCGGCGGTGTGGGATTAGGTGTAGGTGGTGCGTCACCGCCCCCGAGTGCTCCAGCATCGTACAGCTCTGGGGGTAATTTCGGTGCTGCACGTCAAGTTCGTGGATACCCTGGATTCGAAGAACAGTACTCATACTATAACAATGGGGGATACTATAATCCAACCCAGCGATTCGCACAGGGATCGCCAAGTCCGTTAAATGCACAGTTTGGGGCGGCGGCAACCGTGAATACACGGTTGCACCCGGGAGAGGGTAACTTTGCATGCACGTTTGATACATTAGATGAGCCTGCCTTTGGTGGAGTAAACGGTGGCTTCATGGGTTTGGCTGTGAGTGGGGGCAACGGGAACGGAGGGGGTGAAAACGTGGTCTGTCTCGGATGGGAGGGCGGTGTTGATATCTGGAAAGTTGGAAGGGGAGTTGTAGAACAAGTTGGGCGACTAGAGGGTTTGAGCGGCGGCGTGAAGGGTGCTAAGGTAACGATCTCTGCCCTCTCATCGCCATATTTTATTTTCGCTTCACCCATTCTTCCCATTAAGGCTATTTTGGCCTGTGCGGTTTACTTCTATTTCTGGTCTTGGGGGCCTAATCGGAACGTCGTGCCAATCACATTTGGGAAGCCATTTTGTGAGCGGGCGTTGAATATATCGCTTAAGGCCTCCCATCAGTTACTAACATGCGTGTGCTTTTAGATACTGCCAACACCGCCTCGGGATGATCCACTAGCAGCCCACAGGCCCCTTGTATGTCTCACTCTACACTCCCCGGCTACCCCTCAGGCAGCTTTGGAAGGGGAGAGACCTCCACCAATTATTCAAGAGGATGAAACGCCCTACTCTACGTCACCTTTTTCCCGCCCTTCAACTTCTGCTTCCAACAGAAGTGCACATTCCCCAGCACAGCCAACCGAATGGCAAACTACGGTTGAGGTCTGGAGTTTGTCTTCCCGCACGAGGATTGCAAGACTATTTACTAGTCCCTTGGTGCCAGCGACAGATTTCAGTTTCGGGATAGGAAGTCCGCCACCCCCTTGGGGTGGTTTGAGAGTAGAAGTTGTTGGCACAAAAATAGTTATAGGTGTTGGAATAAGTGGAGAATTGTATGTATATGGCTTGGGCAGTGGCAATGGATTCCAGGGTGATAATGCCGGGTGGAAGTGTTTGGGAAAACTATGGACGGCTATCCAGGGGCATTCCGGAGGAAGCTTTTCCAGTGAAACCGGGATCCCGGGCCTCGGTAGTGACGGGAAGGTGACGGGAGTGGGAGGCCACATCGGGACGCCGGTGTTTTCACTTTCAAACGGGTGGCTGGCATATTGCCCCGCGCCCGCTAGCTCTGCCCATCACATGGGTGGTGAAGTCGGTGTTCCGTTCAGTTCTCCAACCGTCAAATCCCAGTCACCACCCGCACAGCCAACTATCACGGCTGCAGTGTCTGTAGAAGATGAGGCGTTCCTGAATCGCATGGCAAGGGAAGTAACCCAGGAGGTCATTCGCGGAGCGAAACGGGCAACAGAAGCTAGTATCAAGGCATTTCAAAATTATTGGAGTGGGCCTCAGAATAATTCGCCTCCGCCCCCGGCTCCCCCACTCCCTGTGAGCATGATGAATAGCGGGATATATGGAATTCCCGGTATGGGCGCGGGAAGTGTTCACGGTGGGGCTCAGCCTAGCGGATTGGGTCAACAATTGCGGCAGATGCAACAGATGGGAGGGATGCCTCAACAGTCCCAGTTTCCCCAAAATACCCCTCCTCAGCAATCGGCAAGCGAGCCACGGTTGGTGAGTATCATTGATTTGTCCAAGGTCTCCCAGAGCCTCGATGGCGGGGCAAGTCTCAACGGCCTGCAAGTCAGCATGGCTCCGATGGCGACTTTCCTACCGCCAGCAGGTGTGAGCTATCTTAGTTTCGCCCCTGGTGGGTTGGCCTTGTTGACAGCGAGCTCTAAAGGGGACCTGCTGTTTGTGTGGGATCTGATGAGAGTTGTTCACCATCCGCCCGGGAATCCTTTACATGGGGGTCAAAAGTCTGGTCCTGGAGCCCAAGACGGCACGAAGCTCTCAGGAAATTCTAACGGGCCGGACGGAGGTGCATTTGGAAAGCACGTAAGACAGATCGCCCGGTTTAGCCGTATAACACCAACAACAGTTTTAGACGTCGGATGGTCCAGCCCTAAGGGCGAAAAGTTAACAGTGGTCACGGAGAGAGGAACAGTCCATTTCTATGACTTGCCCAGTGGCGCATACCAGTGGCCTCCTCCGAAACGGCCACCGCCTTCTCCTAATGCTATAACTGCTGGAGCCCAAGTTGGAGCTGCAGGCGCGGCAGTCACGGGTGCGGTTAATCTATTCAGCAGCTCCACCCAGCCCCTCCTATCAGCGGCTCGTAAGAGGCGAAGCAGGAGTAGTAGTATTGGCTCACCAAGCGGAGGTATCTTTTTGAATGGGAATTCCAACCGGCGTCCTGGACAGAGCGGCAGCGGCAGCGGATCCCCCAATGACCATATAGGGGGGAATAAGGTTTCACTCCCCCAAGGGCTTGGCAGTATCCGGCCAGGCTCGGTAAAATTTTTGGTCGGGAGAGAGAGAGGGTATGTAGCCCTAACAGGAGCGGGTGTTCTCCGCATTTACGAAGTCAGACCTGGAGGTGGTGGAAGCAAGAAGAAGAATGCTGGGGGAATCATGAGCAACTTTTTAGAATATGAGTTGCCTATGTTACCCGACGGACCTTCGCAGAAGAACACTCTTTCTGTCGACGGTGAGGAGAAGCAAGTGGGCGGGTTCTGGATTGGAAGACATCATCATCATCATCACCATCCGGTGCACAGCATCGAACAACAGAAGTTTGAACAAAATCCATTATCCTTTGCTGAAATAGAAACGAATGCTGTCTTTCAGCCCTTCCACACCGACAGACACGTAAGTTTGTCTGTGCACACAGACGCCGCAGGTAGCCACGGTCCTCTACAGCATACCACCAAGGCAACCAGCTGGCTCGCAGGTAGTTCAAGACAAGCGAAGTCGTGTCGCCGCAAGGACGGGGACCCATCTGTTGCCTCCACATCCCCCGCATCACTATTGTCGTCCCCTGCGCCTGAGCCGGCGCTCGGGCGTGATAACGAGAAGACCGAGTGTCAATCTCCTCTAGCCACCCTTGCTCCTCAAGAAATTTCGGCCCCGGAACCAGTCCCCGAACCGGCTTCGGACACCCCTCTAGCAGCAGCCCCTATGACTAGCCCTACGCCAGAGAATGGTGACCGATGGGTATTCGGCCTTCTCATACCCGCAGATAAACTGAACATTGGCTCAGCCCGCGGCGAGGTAGAGTTTACGGGTGACGAAGGCGGGCTGGCGGAGGCAATGGAAAGCGGACTAGAGCTTGACCGAAGTGGGGTGAGCACGACGAAGAAAGGACGGAAGGGCGGCAGAGCAAGACTAGGCCCTGGTGGCGAGGGATTCTTTGAGAACGACTGTGAAGTGTTGGAGTACACGGGCACCATGTAACGGTATGGCTTTCTCACTTCTTTTCGGGTTCTCAACTTGGGCCATTGTATTGTTTCGGAAACCCCCTTCTTCTCCTCATCGATCGACGCCTGCTACTGCATTTTAATCGCCTCTTGTGACTATTTTTCTCTTTTTCTTTTCTCTTTCCTTTCCCGAGCACTTCCCTTTCGTTTTCGTTTCCGCCACAGCATCGAATTTGGGGTTTGGGATGGTGTTTTTTTTTTCTTTTTCATGCGTTGAAGGTATAGGACGAGATTCCACAAAAAAAAAGGTTTTTCTTTTCATAATCACTTTTTTTTTTTTTTTTTTGCTCTTTCCTTTTTTCCCAGGTAATAATTGCTATATCGTGGGCACGTGCACTTGTGAGTCCTTTGTCCTTCTTCTTTTTCTTCCCATTCTTGACTACCACATCTCGCGTTTTGTAATATCGTTTTTTTTCCCTTCTTCTTTCTCATTCACCCGTTACAATACCATACTCGAGCACGCCCAGGGCGAGGACCGAAGCATATCTGGGCGTTCGAGTTGATATCTTTTGCCTTCCACCCCGGTTTCGATTTAGAATTCCGAAGGGGGGGAGTGTTCTACTCCAGTTTGTATGTACTCTATGCTGTACTTGGGCGGTAGCATGTAGCTTAGTCCGGGTCGTGATAGTCTGTGTTTTGGGGGATTGGAGTATTAAATTGCATCTGCTGAGCAAGTGGGCGATGGGCGTCACGGGGGCGAACGGGCTAATCACGAATGAATGAATGAACGAATGTACGGGTGCGCGAGTGAGGTACTGTGAGTGATGGTGTCACGTGTGGGGGCGAGGGTGAGGTTATGAGGATGACTGGCGCCCCATGGGGTTTCAGGGCCGGGACAGGCATCATATGAATGTGTCATATCCGACCAACGACCTTTAGCAACCCTTCCAGGGTGCGTCTTTGCCGGGCGGGGCGCAGCACGATTGTCCGGCGGAGGGTTTGCCGGCTGACGGGGCACTGTGCTCGTACAGTTGCTGGGTAAATTATGGGTGTGGTTCTGCGTGTTTGCTCGGGTTCAAGCTATCGTAGGCTGTTCACTTTGCCCTCGTTTTCACCGATCCCGGGTACGGACTCCCGCACGGGGCCTACGATACACCACTCGCACGGTATGGGTGCCGTACCGAATACCGGTAAGCATATCATACTTGTATGGTACGGTACCTGATCGCAGCGATTGCAGCGCAATTGCAAGTAACCCCCCACCATGCCATTATCTAATCAATCAATCGGTAAATCCAGCAATCAAACAATAGAGAGTTTGCGCAGGCAGACCTAGGTGGGAGTTATTAACGATGTCACTAGGGGTTGCCACTCGCATCAACAGCCCATCAGACTCCCGGCAATTGTTGAGTTTCTTCAATTCCATGTATTAAAGAGGTCAATACATCAGCCAATTCTTAACTTTCATGAATTTTCTCCTCTCAGGATTGTCCTTGAGAAGAATAGCCACAAAACCATACCTGAACAGAGGCATAAAAATGCAGTTCGAGT